CTTTTAAAGATCTGCCCATTACTAGTTTGAATTTGTGAGACACTTCTAAAAAGGAACCAGTGTTTAGGTCTGCTGAAAATGTAAAACAAATTAAATCAAAAATCATAAAAACCAACCAAACAAGGAAAACTAAACAAAACCACAAAACCCAAACAAAACAACACAGTGCTCTTTTCACAGCTTTTTAAGATACCTGTGGACACTGTTTGATATTGCTGAAATTTAAAAGAAAGCATGCATTAAAATACACAGGGAAATAGGAATCCCTTCATGCAAGTAATTTTCTGGAGATGAGTCAACTTGCAACTACCCTTCAGCTAATTATATGGGCTGGTGACTATGTATGCCACAGATGTTAACTCAGCACTACGTAAATGCAGGTGCCCTCTGTCAGCGAGGTCCAATAATGCAGTTGTTTATGTTAAGTTAGTAACTCTAAAAGACCAAAGCAGCTTTCATATGCAGGCCAGCTCTGGACTTTCTGCTCCCAATTCCAGGAGTACTACAGAAGGTACTTAAGACATATCTAAGTAGCTCTGAACCACAATAACCACATTTGGCTAGCATGAAACCCAAGTTTAAGACTCCAGGACTGAGCTGCTGATAAACCTAGACAACAAATGCACAATGCTCCTGCACTCTGAGAATGGTTATTTAATTTGGATAGAGTCAGCTTGTATCCAACAGTGCATGCAATACATTCACCCTCTTGAATCCCTGAGCTCTTGGGTGTGAAGTGTACAGATATTAAATTGCATTATCATGCAGACTCAGTATAGCTGAACAGCTTTGCAGATCATTCTTCAATACCTGTATAACATAACATAACCCACCCCTTCCTATTAATTGAGCTAACAACCAGTTGTTATAATTAGAAAATTGTATGCAACAAGAACTACAAAAGGAGACATGAGTTTCTTATCAATATATTGATGCTAAAAATGAGAGCTAGTGCCTATGGCTAATGGAAAACAAGCAAGTAAGCACCTATCCATAATTCATATGGTGGACAGAAGACTGAGAAAAAAAAAAAGTGATTTACACCAGAAATAGCAGATTTCTTGAGTAATAAGAAAGTGAGCTATTTCTGCGCCTGAATTAGTCAACCTACATCAAAAGGAATATCTGTACTCCCTGCAATAATTCATATTTGCACAAAATACATCCTGAGCTCACCAGTAAAATAATTTAATTTAAAAATAGGCCAACAGTTTTGTGCAACTTGCAGAACTTCCTGTGCTTGCAGGAAAAAAAAAAAAAAAAAAAAAAAAATCACAGTGTAAATTGCTTGGCAATATGACGTTATTTTACAAAGAATAAAAATAGCACCAACACCAGCACGACAGGAAAAGAACAATCTTGGGAAGATTCCATAGTTTAGGAAGGTGGTTTAAAAAAAAAAAAAAAAGAGTTGCTTCACAAAAATCAATACACTTCCCCCATAGGTTCATGATGTAAAATTCTATAATCAAGGCTTGTAGATTTGTAATTATGGTATGTCAGCCACATTTAAACAAGAGTGTTAAAAGATTGTTAAAGTTAAACTAACACAATTGCAATGTGAATTGTCTTAGTCTCATTCTAATCTACTGGTGTCACTTCCACTTAATCAGATAGAAGCTATGGGCAAACGTCAGTGCTATTTTCACATAACTCAACTTACTTTGTTTGCAGTAGTTTTTAAAATCACTGCCAACCTGAAATAAGATATTTTCAGAAAGACTTTTCTAATCAATTCCCTCACTAGCCAGCATGTTGTCTGAGTTTGGATTTACTAAGACTATTTTGAAGTAATTAAACCAGAAGTATTGGTTGTTAGAATATAAGCCACAAATACAGCAAACATCATTCACCCCCATCAAATTTACTTTTTCTGAATGACAAGCTAATGAAAATAGCAATCACCAAGAGCCTGGCTATCAGATTTGTCAAAAAAAGCAAAAGGCTCTCCCTATTCCTAGTTTATATTTCCTTCACTGATACATAGCAATATAAGAAATGCAGGTAAAGTACCCACAACCTACAGTATTGTCTCTTGAGAGGGGTACACAAAAAAAAATCATATACAGCTAAAAAAAAAACCAGAGCAGAACAGCTGCTTTACTCTTAGTTTGAAAAAAAGTGATGAATTAGGTGACTAACAAGAGAAAAGAATGCGCTACAGCAGGTGATTAAAAAAAGACAAATGAAACATCAAGAAAGTTCAATATATTCTAAGAGTTCTTGACCCTTACCTTTTTTGATATACTCTTATAGCCTGACCATTGAATATGCTTGAAAAATCAGTATTACAGGCAAAATTCAATGTACTTTTCTAAACTGGAAATGCAGAAAAAAAAAAACTAAGGAAAACTAATCAAAGTGTTAAGTCAGTCACTTTATGGCTTATTCAATAAGCCTCTATGTGAATCTTCTCACACATCAGAAATACCTACAGAGCTGCCATAGTCCAAAATAAGAGGACAATGTTAATGTCCTAAATTGACTCAAGTCACATGCATGCCTACTGTAGTATATTATATAACTAGGCTTTTGGTTGGAGAAGGAACAGGGGAGTGGGACTGAGCCTTCTTTTATCTGTGTTGACAACCATTACGGAAGTGGGAGCTGCTGACGTACTGCTGTATCATCTCCCCTGCAGGGACTGTAAGATAACATTCCTTTTTTTTTTTTAGTTACTTTCACTTACAGTAGTATGCAAGCTGCTGCAGAGTAACTGCGGATGCACATGTAGTTACCGTATAGCAAACAGAAGCTAATCTGACCTGTTTATTCACACATTCTCCAAAACCAAATCTGAATCCTGTCACTGCAAGTGTAACATTCCCCCAAATGTTTTCATCCCTTTCTTTGTGCTAACCCTGAAAGTTGTATAGTTCCATGGTGAGCTGGTCCAGGCAGACCTATTCTATTTTTTTTTTCAGTCCAGGTGTCCTGGGTTTAGCATTAGCAGTCAATTTTTCTCCTTGGTAGCTGGTGCAGCATTGTGTTTTGACTTTCAGCCTGGGAACAGTGCTGATAACACCGATGTTTTCAGTTGTTGCTAAGTAATGTTTATCCTGACCAAGGACTTTGTGAGGCTCATGCTCTGCCAGGGAGGAGGGGAAGCTGGAAGGAAGCAGAGACAGGACACCTGACCCAAGCTAGCCAAAGAGGTATTCCATACCACAGCACATCATGCCCGGTGGGGCTAAGTGGGAGTTACCCGGAAGGACACGGGGTCTTCTGGGTCAGACTCGGCGGGTGGTATCTTATTCCCTTCCCTTGATATTTTCTCTTATCGTTGTCGTTGGTGGTAGCAGTGGTGATTTGTGTTGTACATTGTTCGCTGGACTGTTTTTGTCTCAACCCGTGGGAGTTGCACTCTTTCAATTCTCATCCCCATTCCTCCGGGAGCGGGGAAGGGGAGAGCCCCCAGGGGGGGTGGGTGGACGCAGGCCTTGATTGCTTCCAGCCCAGCACCACTCACTGGGAGTGAGTGAACGAGCTGTCTGGCTAGGTTTAAACCATGACACCAGATTATTTTTGAGTGGATCAGCTCCCTGGATCAATGTAACCACACTAATATCCAGTGGGAATTTAAGCAACCTGCTCTGTAACCAAAATATACAGATGGGTGCCCACCTAAACCCTCTAAATCCTTGTGCAGGGCAAAAAGGAGAAAACTCTAACACAGCCCCTCAGATGTAAATTAGCCTAAGCCATCATGGACCAACATCAAGTCTTCTCCTGTCACAAGCAGCAACTGTTTCAGCTCAGAGGAATCCCCACCTATACAGTATCCCTGAAACATACTGTAACTTATTAAGCATCATTTTTAAGAGGCTGCAGACTTTGTATTAGGCCTACAAAATAGTTCTCAGGAATAGTCAGACATTGCCTGAACTTGTGTTGGCCAGCCTGGACAGGTCTTTTTTACTTCTTTAACTGTAACCACTGTTATGACCAGGTAACAATTACCTGATTTGTTTTATTGTTTGCTCAGCTTTGTACAGTTAGGCAGTATAACACTATTGTCTTGATTTTTGTTACTAACAGAAATGAGCTCTAACTTAGAATTTTAAAAAGCAGCATAAAAGATCAAATCTTATGAGAGCAGAAGCATGAGATGACAGGAGAGCCCTTAAACACACAGGCACAGGAAGATGCCGAAATGCCCCAGTGCTATAAACAGTTCATCAATAGTCAAATATTGGTCAAAGAAGTGCAATTCTGAGACATGGTTAAAACCAGTTTTAGGATAACAAAACTATTCAATGCATGTAAAGCACACTATATGCAGTCAATTCAGCTACAAAGTGGAGTACGAACCAATGAAGGAGAACTAAGATGTGCACTTTTTAACATGCATTTCTAAATGCAGACTCAAAAGTACAAACCAATCAACATCATACTCCTCTCAACAAAGGATCTGGGATGCTGATGACTTGCTTGAATTTGTCTCCTCCCCACTACCAAACTGAGCCAGTGGCCTTAGGACCCAGAGACCCAGCAAAAAAATCTAATACATCAGGGGAAATGTGCTATTAGGAACAAAGTAGAGACATTAGAAACCTTGTATATATTAATTTTGCCTGTATTTATTTGAACTGTGCTAGTGTCATTGTAGCTGTACTAATATCCATCAGGAATATTAGTAACTTACTCTGTAACTTGGATGCAACAGACTTGTAACAAAACCAAAGCCAGCAGCCATGGACATCTGCAAATCAAGTGAACAAACAGAAGAGCCACACCAACCAGTAAACTGCTCATGCAGGACAACAAACGCTATTAAGTTTTAACCTCTTGTTCTCGGCTCTCTCAGATTCACTTAAGCTGCAGAAACAGAGAAATGAAGAAAAAGAACATGCAAGCACAACAGACAGTGGCAGACACTGAGCTAGATTCCCATGCAGTTATTTGCACAACCAGACTTGGCATCACTAGGTCACTTCCAGGTCCAAGGGGACATGGCCACAGGGAACAGGAACCCCACTTGAAAATGCAGACCTGCACCAGCTCTGCTGGGGTCTTCCCATAGTTGTTCATTACCTAGTAAGACTTCCCAGTCACTGTTTCCTAATCTACAAATATGAGGAAAAATCTTATTTGGGTAACTTTTGTGGTGATTTGTCATTAAGTAATGGCCATCTGAAGTGCTGTTCAGTATTACCACATAGTTCTCTCACTAAAACTGTCAAACAGCATCAATAAGACAGTTGTGAAACTTCCACAAACTACAAAAATAAAATTGTGTCTTATTAGATACAACAGCTTTCTCAAAAGTTTCTAGCCAAAAAAAGCTATACTTCTAGCTAACAAAAAGAATACACAGACTGAAACAGGACCTTACAATCATATAATCAGTTTCTTGCTTATGGCAGTACTTGAGAACTGCTCCCCATTGGGAGCCTAGGAACAAAAAGTGCTTGTGTCTTGAGTAAAGAGAGTGATAAATCTGTACCCACTTTACTCTTCAAGTCCAGCCTTTCAAAGCTAATCGGGTACTAGAAAGTGGGTCCATCTTACTGTTACTAACTGAAAGTAGATAGGCCATAATACAACAATGTATGAAACTGGACTATTTAACATCCTGACACAGCACACATACTAATTTTCTGGCCTGAGCCAGAGCAGTCCTTATAGGGTGTAGCCTTAATAAATCCCACTGTGACCAAATATTTCAAGTCAAAGCCTTGTGTTTACAGTGACAGTAAAAGGGATTCAGAGAGATAAAACTGCAACTTTTTTTTTTTTAAATTAAGACTGTGTTAAAACTAGGCAAAGCCGAGACTCAGGGGATGAATTTACCATCATTTTTGCAGTATTAGGTTTCAAATTAGAAACAACCCGTTTAACAGTTATTTGGTATGTGAGTAAGACTTCATGCCTCGGCAAGGTGTCCAGCGAGACTGCCCCGTACACTAACGGGTATGACGGCGTGGGTCCCCTTGGCCCTCAAAATCATTACTGAAACAGAACAATATCCCCGTTTAACTGTCGTCTCGGGAAAGAAAGGTTCCCGACGGCGGGGAGCGAAAAGAGAGAAGCCGTCAGCCATGGCACAACTGATGCCAGAGCAGCCGTCCGGCACACCCCGCAGCCCCACCCCACCGCCCCCAATCCCGGTCCCTGCCGCAGGCACGGCCGGCTATGCTCGAAGTCCCGCCGGCAGAGCCCCGCGGCAAGGCCCGCACCCCGCCCGAGGCGGCGGGGGCCGCCGGTAAAGCCCTCGGCAGAGCCAGGCCCGAGCCCTCCCTCTTCTCGTCCCCTCGGGATCTCCCACAACCGCTCCCCACGGCCAAGGCGCGCGTCTCCACGGGGCGATGGCCCCGGCGCCCTCCCCCGCGGCGGGCGGGCGCGCACCCACCGCCTCACAACGCCGATCTTGATCCTGATCTGCTTCAAGCGCGGGTCAGCCATGGCACTGCTGGCGACGAGCGGCGCAGGAGCGGAAGGCTCGGAGAACAAGACGCTGCGCCGTGACTGCGCACTTGACCCGCGCATGCGCCAAGGCGGCAGCTTGAGCGGCATCACCGGCGGCGGGGGCGGTGCTACGCACTTACCGCTCTTGCGCCGCCTCCTCCGGCTCACTGGAGGCGTCGCCATGGCGACGTTCCGCGCCGTTCCGCGCCGGGTGTGGCCGGGCCGGGCCGGGCCGGGCCGGGCCGGGCCGGGCCGGGCGGCTGTGTGTCGGTTGCTGTTTGCTCACCGAGCACCCGCAAGAGAAGTGTGATTCCGCACGCGTTATTCGGAGGCGGTGTGACTAGTGCCACGGTGGTGCCAGGGAGCGCGGCGTGACCTTTAGATCCAGCTCCCAACCCGTGGTGATGTGGTTAGCATAGCTAATACCATGTTGTGGGACGAGCAGCCATTCTCTGAGGACAACCGGATCACGTATTTGTCCCTCTCCCCTCATTATGAGGCCCTGAATGTCCTGTGCACTAAGCAGACAAAGGAAACGGATTTCTTCTTCCCCTTCCTACCAGCCTCGGTTCCTGGGCATGAGGCCGATTACTCCTGTCCTTACTGTCCTTGAAGGTCCCAGGCACACAGCCTGGTGGTGTTGATGACCCTGACACAGAACAAGGATGGTAACAGCACCAGAGCACTGTCTGTAAAATCAGACACAAGTCCTAACGGGGAATATGGACCAGAACTGCTGCTGGACAGGGAGTGAGACTAGGACCTGCCCAGGACACCTCCACTGTGTCTTCTGCTTCCTCCAAAGAATGAAGGAGTGACTCGTATTCTTTTGTATGATTTGAGTCTAGGTTATGATTGTCATGTTGATACAGCAAACCAGTTATTAAGAATTGACCCAGTTCTCAGAGGGTCCAGGTGAAATTGTAAGTTAAATTGTGTTACAAAATTCTGTACTATGCTACTTATAAACCTTACTACACTGATTCTGCTTGTAGAAACCTTGTGCCATCCCAATCATAAATTCTGTGCTATAATAACCTTTAAATCCTTTAAAGCTTTAATTGTAACTACAACTTAGTACTGTCATCATTCTGCCAAGGTTCTCTAGAAGAACCTATCTGTCCCTTTAGTGTCAAGGGACTGATTGATAGAAGCAAATAAAGAGGCATCATTATCACTGACAGCTCAGCTCCAGACTTATAGCTGTCTCAAAGCTCAAGAGGTATTTTCCTTCACAATTGTACTTAGCTGAGGCTAACCATTAAAAACCAAAACAAAACAAAACCCCTTGGGTCTGTGTTTGAAAAAAACTTCCTTATAATGAGCATTTAAGTTGATAAGAAAGAAAAAATAGCTTAAACAAATAAATAAAGTTAAAAACAGTGGAGTACAATTCAGGAAGGTCTGTGGAGGCCTTTGTTTTTCCCACATCCTTTTGTCCTGTGTTAGCCACTTGCCCTGGCTCTTGACACTGCCAGTGACCAACATCTCTTGAGAAAACCTCTCTCCAAGGGAGGATGTCATGTTGCTTTTGATGACATGACAGTTACAGTTCGTCAGCCAACAGCCATGGGAGTGCAGCTGGCACCTTTGGGTCCTGTTCAGACATGGCATAGAGAGAGCCAAGATTGCTCAAGTCTGCGGGGTTGTGTCTTATCTGCAGAGAAGAACAAATGTGATCCCTGTGACAGAACACAAGTCAGGGACCTGCAAGCTGTGCCAGCCCCAACACAGCCTTAGCTCAGCAGGTTGTCTCTGCAGGGAGACACAGGTCCCAACATCAACAGCCTACATAACCCTGTGAACAGCTATGACCTGGAGGCAAGTTCACAGATGTATTATGTATTTGATGTGCAAACCTGCCATTTCCCATGCAGGAGGAGGAGGAAGGAAAGCAGCATCCTGGCAGGCACAAGGGAAAATGCATCACCTTACTTTGACGGAAATTCAGATCTTTTTACTCTAGCTTTAGAAAGCTGTATTGAATCATGCTGGGGTTGAAGCTGTTCTCTAAACAACCCCAAGGCAGTGCGATTACACTACATACCCTTTGAAAATACAGACTGCTGCAAGGAAAGCTGCATTACCACTGTGCACCTATACATCAATTATTTTTTCAAAAATAGTCTTTGATGTCATTTCTATACCTGACATAGTTGTTCCATAAGTGAGAAGGCTAACAACAAATAACAGTACAAAAATAAAAATTGCCTAGAAGCAACAGTATTAAGAAAAGTAACTAATGTTTCCAAGTGCTACAATGTTTTATCTCTAGCCCTGAAGCATTAACTTGCATCACTGGCAGTCTTTAGGCACAGCTACTGTATCTTAGAAGTAGAATACAATTATTTTCCTCCAGCTAATTCCGATAACAGCTGATAATATACCAAAACTTAGTTAATATTTAAGCATATATGATGATAAATTGAAAAAAGTGTGAATGGTGGATGCTGAAGTATACATCTAAAAAGTGTTTGAAAGCATGATCTACTTCGTTTGCACTAATACATGTTTGTATTAGTACCTGAAAAGTATAAATTAACACTTCAGTAATTTTATTTCAAAGGGTCTGTATACCTGAATATCAAGGAAAATATGTATATTGTTTTCCAGGACAGTCGTTCCTTTTTTAATTAAAGTATTATTTTTTATTCCCAACTCCCCCCCCAACCCCCCACCCCACCCCACACCCCCACCCCCACCCCCGGACTCCTTTGAAACAATTTTTAGCTTAGGCAGTCGTAGATATGTTTCTATTTAAATTAGTAACATCACACCAGAGTTGAATACACTCCATTATGAAGATTATGAATCCTATTCTATCTTTTACATGGTACAGAAACTGTTGATTTTTCAAGGAATTTGGCATTGTTCTGCTTGTGTTGCATCTGGTTCAAGGTTTCTCATAAGATCTGTTGACTCAGTAATTATGTGCACACTGTTGCATAGAGGCAGGTGCCTAAACCTAATTTGCCAATGGTCTAGCTATGCAGATAGATGGAACAAGTAATTCTGTACGTGGCACCTTATGCGTATCATTACATATTCTCCTGTATTGCTCCTTCCAAGCACATTACATGTAAAGCTGCAGCTGCTGTGATCAGCACTGCTGATATGCAGTGTCATCTGGTCATATCAGCTTTCACTTGGCTCCAAATAAGGAATATTTCCAAAGCAGTCTGTTACATGATTTTCACAAATTTAGTTGTGCGGGTGTAATTGTCACTGCCAATATACTATGCCTTCTGCCTAAAAAATCTAGCTAAATCTTATTTATTTCTTCTGGATAAGAGCACATTTAGTGTTTACTGATCATTCCCATTTCACTTAAGAATAAAGGACTGGAAGCAGCTAATCTGCTTGATGAGCTCAGATCTCTGCCTACATAAACAACTGGTGTTTAATAGGTGTTTAATAGAAAATGTTCACAGTGCACCTAATTCGCATGCAAGGAAGCATGCCAGGCTGCAAAGCCCTGCCTACAACTCATAACATTCTCTGTGAAAGACAGCTTAAAAAGTTAATGCTGCATATATGCTTTGTCACAAGAAACGAGTGGACAGACTCAAAAGCATTACAGTATACCACAAGTCCCTGTAATATTAGCAATTCCCAGTTAATATGCCTGTAAATTAAAGGCTACCCTTACCGCCAGGGGTGGAGCATTCACAACCTCCCTGGGCAACCCATTCCAGTGCCTCACCACCCTTACAGGAAAGAACTTCTTCCTTATATCCAATTTAAACTTTCTCTGTTTAAGTTTTAACCCATTACCCCTTGTCCTATCACTACAGTCCCTAATGAAGAGTCCCTCCCCAGCATCCCTATAGGCCCCCTTCAGATACTGGAAGGCTGCTATGAGGTGTCCATGCAGCCTTCTCTTCTCCAGGCTGAACAGCCCCACTTTCTCAGCCTGTCTTCATACAGGAGGTGCTCCAGTCCCCTGATCAACCCTGTGGCTCTCCTCTGGACTTGTTCCAACAGTTTCATGCCCTTTTTATGTTGAGGACACCGGAACTCTACACAATACTCCATGTAAGGTCCATGAGAGCAGAGTAGAGGGGCAGGATCACCTCCTTCGACCTGCTGGTCACGCTCCTTTTGATGCAGCCCAGGACACAGTTGGCTTTCTGGTCTGCAAGCACACACTGCAGCCGGCTCATGTTAAGTTTCTCATCTACCAACACCCCCAAGTCCTTCTCTGCAGGGCTGCTCTGAATCTCTTCTCTGCCCAACCTGTAGCTGTGCCTGGGATTGCCCCAACCCAGGTGTAGGACCTTGCACTTGTCATGGTTAAACTTCATGAGGTTGGCATCAGCCCACCTCACAAGCGTGTCGAGGTCCCTCTGGATGGCATTCCTTCCCTCCAGGGTATCAACCGAACCACACAGCTTGGTGTCATCGGCAAACTTGCTGAGGGCGCACTCAATCCCACTGTCCATGTCAACAACAAAGATGTTGAACAAGTCCGGTCCCAACACCAATCCCCGAGGGACACCACTCGTTACTGGTCTCCAGCTGGACATTGAGCCATTGACCACAACTCTTTGCGTGCGGCCATGCAGCCAGTTCTTTATCCACGGAGTGGTCCATCCATCAAATTGATGTCTCTCCAATTTAGAGATAAGGATGTTGTGTGGGACAGTGTCAAATGCTTTGCACAAGTCCAGGTAGATGACATCAACTGCTCTACCCCTGTCCATCAGTTCTGTAGCATCATCATAGAAAGCCACCAATTTGGTCAGGCAGGATTTTCCCTTAGTGAAGTCGTGCTGGCTGTCACCAAGCACCGTGTTGTTTTTCATGCGCCTTAGCATGTCTTCCAGGAGAATCTGCTCCAAGATTTTGCCAGGGATGGAGGTGAGACTGACTGTTCTGTAGTTCTGTGAGTCATCAATTTTCCCCTTCTTGAAAATGGGGGTTATATTTCCCTTTTTCCAGTAGTTGGAAATATGATTTGATAAATACAATTTGATTTTGAATAAAAGTTAATGGTGTCATCTTTTTTCTTCTTTTTTTTTTTTAATATATATATACATTCAGTAGATAAAAATAACCTCTGTTAATTGTCCAGCACAAAGCTAGG